GGGGAGGAGGTAGTAGATACATATATAGTGTGTGTTATCTGTGGTAGAGGGGGAGAAAAGAATTGATTGAGCTTACGCTTATGTTTACTATTTCTCGTCTATGTGTGCGTTAAATGTCTTGTTTGAATGGGAAAAATGAATAGCACAACTTCATACAATGGGTTGTATATCCAAATCATGCCTACTACGTTTACAGTGGAGGAGAATATCCCACGTAGCCACACTTCACATCACATCACACCAAGCATAGTACACACAAAAGTCATCGAAATCGAAGTGGTCTATTCCCACTCCCCTATCCTATACTATCTCGCTCTGCCGTCTATGGCGACACTCCTCAACACCCAGTATCCATCCTTCCACGCTGTCCAACCCCACAGGGCTAGATCATCTACCCACCACACCATCACCACACCCCTCACACAGCCTCATCTCAACCCCACAGCAGGAGATAGTCCATACATAACCGCCATTACAGCCTCGTCTCAATCTCCCCACCGCCATCCACCATGCACGCAACCCCCCCCCCCCCCCCCAAAAGCAGACAACCCAAAGCCAAACTCCTAAAACCCCCCCTCTTACCCAGAAAAAAACACAAACAAATCCACCCCAACGATTCAACAGGAACAGCCTAACAGCAACAGCAAAAGCAAGTGAATGGAAAACAAAAATTATAATGTACACAAAACGTGGTACAGCTTCTCTCTCTTCTTCTCTCGTCCGCTGGAAGATGATGATCTGAAGTGAAGTGAAGTGAATAAAAAACGATGCCCAGCAAAGATTCTAGAGAACGCCGGTATGCAATGGGAACATTAAATGGGGTGTTGGTGAGGGAGATCCCCTCGCATCCGGGTATCCAAGGCCGGCATTGTCATAAAACAGTCGTCTCGAAAAGTCAAAAAGAACAAACCCGCTCCCACATCCGCCCACTCTCAAGGCGTCTTCCCTCTCTTTCGCTTCTCTATGCTACTCTCGCTATCAAAGATATCGCTCACCGCCGCCACCGACCACGTCCCGCACGAGGAGTGTATGACGAACAGTCCAAACGTGGCGATGTTGACGAGGTGATGCAGCATATACACATACGTCACGCCGTAGACGGCGGCGTACATGGCGATGATGAAGAAGAAGGAGGGCATGGCGTAGCGGAGGCGGTTGGAGACGCGGGGGATCATCTTGCCGCTCGTGAGCGTCTCGACGAGGAGGATGAACGGCATGATGGAGAGGACGTTGTGGTGGGAGGAGAAGGGCGTGAGCCATTGCACGACGATGTTGTTGGCCCAGACAACGAGGATGGGGAGGTTGATGGCGGGGATGGTCCAGAGCATGAGGGTGAAGACTGAGTGGGCGTAGTTGTAGAAGTGGTGGTTTGCTGCTGATCGCGTGTCGCTAGCCAGTCGCCATGCGCGGGTGCAGGTCGTAATCTGGACGAGGCAGGCCACCAAGTAGGCAAACTGGTAGGGGATGAATGTCGCCACCAGTATTAGTAGAATGCCAGTTATAATGAGACGTCTTCGTGTCGACGAAGGATAAAATGCAGCCGAACTGGATAGCCTCTTGTCATTCTTCCCGAGCCAAGCTGGGCTTGTATGCACCAGCCCATACACTATCGAGCAAGTCTGAATCAGGAGCAAGAATCCGTAGTTGATTATGATGCATATCCCGACAGAAATAACCCCCGTGAGCGGTACCAGGAACCAGAAAAATGGATCTCGAGACCCCAAAAGGAGCTCGTTCTGCTTGAAATCCACAAGCGGCGATGTTACATTCCCATTCCAACTCCATGGACTCGAGTTCGCTGAGACTGGTGAGGCCGAGCTCGATGAGAGAACCCACGACACAATCGTGAGACACAACATAACCAGCGGTATGGTGCGGCGGAGACAAGCGTCCATGCCCTCAGTAAACGAGACGAAAATTCCGGTGTCGTTATATATCGAAAGCTGCTTTCCAATAACCAGACAAACGATAAGCAGGGGAAATGCAGCAATGATGGTCCTGTAGCGCATGTACAGTTTCCCGAAACTCCCAAAAACGTCCACGGTGAGAGATACGTCGACTGATGACCCACAGGTAGGGTCTGTCCATATCTGCAGGCTGATGCCTTCGTGACCTTGGCGCGGCTCAAGCGGAGGAGGCATGAATGGGGCAACACCGTGCAGGTTGATGCTCGCCTGCTTGACGTTGACAAAGTATTTCGATTCGTATGGCTTTGACAGGTACTGGCGTACCAACGGCGTGAACAGCTGGCCTTCATCTCCGCAAGCTTGATTGCCCACGTTCAAGTTGTATGAAAGGAGACTCGAGTGTAAAGCAGGGATATTTACTTCCATGACCATAGGACGTTTATCCGGTAGTTTTGTCTTCATTCCGAAAGCCAGGAGCTTTTTGAGACTCAGAGACCCCACTCGTTTTGATACCTCATTGTCGCTGAACTCCGCAACAACCCAGCCTGGGCTTGGCTCTGTAGCCTTGTCGACAATCGCAACGAATTGATGATCCGCAATATCAGCCAGCTCATATTGTAGATACGAAAATGGGGTAACCGGTTCGTCATCCTGGCCGATGAATGGATGCTTCGACTCCCGTGTGGAAGCAGGAAGCTGGATAACATCGGCTGCAGCATTCTTGCACGCAAGTCTCGCCGACCCCGGCTTATCACCAGAGAGGTCGATGTTCATAGAGAGCAGAGTAGCCGACTGTCCAGCCTTCAGGGGGAATACACTGCAAAACAGCACCTCTAGCTTCCCGTGTCCTCCATCCTCATCAGGCTTCTGGTCAGAGAGCAGAGTGAATCTCGTCCCGGGTAAGTTGGTTGGTATTGGCAGCAGATAGGCCTGAGGTTTACGCGACTGCCCGAACTTCCTCAGCGTCAAACTCTTCCCCTGCTGCAGTATTGAGTTCGAGCCGTCCTCGAGTGTCAGCAGAGTGCTCGGTTCCTTCCGCGGCAGCGTCCTCTCAGCAAATGGTTCCATTCCTGTTAAAAGACGTTTCTTGAACAAGCGCATCCTCTCCGCCCTGGGTTTCGTCTGAGCTGCTCGGTTGACATCCACCACATCATATAGCGATTTTATCACAACCTTTCGGAATTGGTCGCACCATAGGATGGCCTGGTGGTCCATGCCCGTCCAGACTGTCGGGACAGTGGTGGTGAACACTGTAAACCCATGAGTCTCTGGGACAAGCGACTCCAGACTTGCGTAATCCGAGGGCACCATCGTATCTAGTCCTCCACCGGCAATAGAAATTAATGTAACATGCCACAGCGGGTTGTTGTTTGCCCACTGCTGAGAGTATGCCTCACGCCAATAGCGGTTGACATTTTCGTATATCTCCACAATCTGCGAATCAAACGACACAGGCGGGCGCGCATGGGGTGCCGACATTGTTATTATGGTATTAATGGAATTTGATTGGTAGTTCGGCATTACCAGCATCGTCCGCGCGACAATCCCGCCCATAGAGTGTCCCAGTATTATGACTGACGTCGGGTCTGGGAGGTCAGGGTCTCGTTGGGATTGTCGCGGATCGTGGTATAGGGAAAGAATATATGCCACAGCTTCGTTCAAGTATTCGGCTTGGTCGAGGATGGCCTGGCCATGAAACGCTGTGAACTCTTCGTTGAAGTCGACTGTGAAGAAGTCGAGATTCCTCGTTCCAGCCTTAAGGACGGCCTCGTCGTGTCGGAGGACATCGTGGAAATAGTTCGCAGCTTCTGCAGCAATTGGTCGGACCTGCTTATAGCTTCCTGCGTTTCCTGGTATGAAAAGGATTGGGACTCCCTTGACCTGTTGGGCATTAGTATGATCTCATAAGGAGCAACAATCGCATTACCTTTGTGTCCTCATCTACCGTCGCTTCACGGTATAGATATACAGAATATTTGCTGGCAAAGCGCGTGTGCTCCGTGTCAAAGTCCTTTAGTTTGGCAAACGCTGGCCTCATGTATGACATTCGGCACCCCTTGCTGTCCAATTGTCGCGTTGTGAAGGAGTAGAAGATCATGAACATCGACAGGATCGCAAGCAGCGTTACAGCGAAGGTAGTCGGCGAATTTGACCAGGGACTCCGAAACTTCGTCCGTCTTGCTACGAAATGGGGTGGCATCTTGCCGTCGTTGATTACCTCAGTGGGAGGCACAGCGACGAGGCCTGATTTCGCAGACCCGTTCTTGGTCACAGACCCATTCCGTGTCTCCCCAGGCTTCCAGATAGTATTGCTCGGCCTTCGACTCCTCGCGGTATCAGGGACATCTATACTGTTCCGCGACTCAAACGATCTTCGTATGTGCTGGTTGACCCCGAGCCGTGAGGGCGCATCCAGAGTTTCGCTATTGTCCCGTCGCGAAGGGGGGCGAAAGCCATTGCCACTACCGTTCACCTCCGTACCTTCCCAAGTCGAAGTTATAATATTGTCAGGAGCGACTGGGGCCGCTAGGGTCGAAGGATCCGAGTCGTCATCGCCGTCGTCCTCTGCGGCCGATGCAGGAGATCGTGGCCGCATCTATAATAAAATTAAGAGAGCCACTGTTGCAGAATTGCTCCCCTTTCCCAACGCCTCCTTTGGCCTACGACACGACGGTCTTTTCGAAAAGAGGTAATCGTGTAAAGACTGAGAGTACTCTTGAGTACAAGAGGAAGGGAAACTTGGCAGGAGATGGGGTATAGAGTAGGGTAGGAGGAGGAGGGGAGGGAAGGTTCTGTGGGTGAGGAAGGAGATACCCAGGGAGATTTAACGGGGGGGGGGAGGGAAGCTTTAGATTTGGTACATTGGTGGAGAGCACGGAGTACATTTCGTAGCTTCCATAGGCGAACACACACGCAACACGGGCCACGACGACTTCACCGCCTTTGGGAATTTAGTAGCACACAGTCACTAGTAAAGCACTCTAACATTAATCCCATAATCCCGTAATCACACATATGTCACTTTCTTTTTCAATCTATATTCTAGATCCTCGAGTACAGGTACATTATATATCCCTTGCTTTCAAAGCTTCAAAATACGCATGCAAGGGTACTTGCGTATCACATAGGTGGCAAGGCAAGGTAGAAAAGTGCTGGTTGTGGTATTGTTATGCTCCCTTCCGACTGTTTGTTGTCTTTTGTTGTCTTTATTTATTGACATCTCCACTGACAGCCTCGCCCAGGGTTCAAATCGTCGCTGCCTGCAAGTAATTCTGGGGCTTGGCTCGCGCCGTTGCTAGTCCGACCCAGTCACTAAGACCTGCGCTTGGCGTCGCCGAACACGTCAAAGGGACCCTTCTTTTTATACCTTAATTCCAGCCTGGGCAGGTGTTGAAGGGACAACAGATAAACAGCAAAAGATGCCTCTGTTCGCATGCTACTGAGAGGGAGGCGCAGGGAGGATCTCTCGTCGACCAGGAGATCTCAGCATGCATCGCAGAATCTCTGTGCAGCAACGAAAGCGGACGAGATGACATAGGCTTTCGGGAGTTAATCGGGACCAGTCATTTGATGTGATTCGACGGTGATAAAGCACACTGACGGAGCACTTCACTATGCTCCCATTACATGTCAACATGGCGCCACCGGGGGCAGAATGACTACTGTGACAGACCCCCAAACCATGGAAATTAGCTCCCGTCGTGATGTGAACTCGACGCCGAATAGGGTCAATCTAAAGTGTGTCCTTGGGGTTTCTGGCGTGAGAAGCTTATCCCCCACATCAAACCATCGAGCCCTATTCGCACGGAGAGGAGAACTCTATTAATCCATCCTGTCGCTGAGAAAATGGACGGGTACTTCCACAACAGGTTGTTGTACTAACGAAGGATTCATGATATGGCACTTGGCAAAACTTAACATTACGCCACAATCTCACAATCTCACAATCCCACAATCCCACGGCCCATCACCAGGATCACGATAAGAATGGGCACAGTCTCAAAGCACCATAAACGTGCCAAGTCATAGGCACTTTGTTCGCTTGAAACATACACCACGGAAGCTGAAAAGAAGCACCATCGAGTGTCTCGGCGTGGCATATAAATCCACTGCCATACGTCAACACAGGTCCATTCAGTGACCACGCTCGGAACAGCTTTTCTGCCATCCTGGCCCTGCCACGGCGCTAAAGCACGCAGCCCGCAAAGTACCACTTTTGAGCTAATCCCACTGCGTCGACTTGTGTCCATCAGCAAATGAGCTCATAGACAATTCTCCAAGGAAGGTGGTTCATGTTGCACACAATTTGGAAATGACAATTGGAGAACCCCTACGTCCAGGACAGTAGCGCATCTATTTCATCTGGCCCCTATCATCGGAACCCTGCCGACTTGTTGGTTGCGGCCAAGATGGAAGTGTCTCCGGCCAAGAATATAATTGCTATCAACTTTCAGGATATCAACAGCGACTGTTCTTTACGATGCACTCAACAGCCGTCGCGTCTCCAAAGCAATACACCAAACGCGTTATTTCTCATCTGCGAAAAGCAGTACGTGGCCCGTGAAACGTAATCCCCATCCCGTACCCCCACCTCCGTCCGTAACACAGCCTCCAGCCCCCAACACCACACCCGCACTCAAGCATTATAATACGCGGCTTATATGCACCGTCGAGGTAAACACGAACAGATCCCGCCCCCGAACAATATCCGAATCCTGCGCGTGCGTCATCAAGCAATTTTCTGAAACAACCCCTCACCTACTCCAAACGGGGCCCTTACCTTCCAATTTGAAGCTATGGATTTTGTCATACAGAACTCCAGTGTGCTGTTACTCGCTGGAGTAAGGGGGAAACCACTTGATGTGAGGTGTAGCACAGGGAGCAAACATTCGGCTTTCACCATGACCTTGACCCGAAGTAACTCCTTGACCCCATATCCGGCGCCAAGGTGATGGCAACGATGCTCCAATCGCACTGGCAAATTCTGCCAGTCTAGGGGCTGAAGAGCTGTGCCCCGCGACAATGTTAATATAGGGATAACGCAAATGATCATTGTATTGCTGACTGCAGCGGCCTCCTACAGAGTGGCACAGGGGCTTCACAATATCGTTTATAACAAGCAATAGATTCCATTATATTTCAATAGTTGCACCATGCGCATGCCAGCATTATCTCCACTAGTAGACAAAGCTCCCCTTTGTCTGGTATATGCCTCAATAGTCATCTAGACATCCGGTGCGTATTATAGCCCTATCAGCACTTAATGGTACATAAGCAATTGCAACTGGTCTTGACTACCCGCCGAGCTCCACCCATCTGATTGATATACGGGGTCCACGTGCAAAAGTGAATAATTGTGTTATTTATACCACGCTATGCCATACAGAATATATACATTAGACTAACTTGATATTACCCCTTCCATCTGCCAACAAAAAAAGTCTCCCTCTGCTACTTAATGAGCTAGAACATTCTGCTGGGTGCTTCGAACAGCCTCCTGCAACCACGCCGGCCAACCACGAAGGGCAGATCCAACCGAATAACGTCCAGGCAAGAATATTTGACCGCTGTTACCGGATAGAATATGGTTCATAATGGTCTCAACCACTGGCTCTGGCTCTAGGAGGAGCGGCTTGAATTTCCCCTGTCCGTGGACTTTGTCAATCAACGCAGTCCGGATGTAAGTAGGGTGAACGATACTAAGACATATGTTAGAGATCATTCTCATTTCAATAACCTCGCGGAGAGTTGCCGCGGTAATCCACCTCCATATCACTTACCTAGTGCGAACCTTCTTCGCATTATACGCGTGCCTCAGCTCCTGTGCCAACCCCTCATGCAGCGCCAGCGCTCCAGCCTTAGAGCACGAATAATCCACATTCTGCACCCCCGTAATAAAGCTAGCCAAGCTGGCAATAGTCACAATGTGGCCATGGTTGCGCTTGATCATCGCGGGCAGGAATTCCTTGATGAGCAGGAAGTTTGAGATCACGTTCACATCGAAGACTTGACGGATCTCCTCCTCGCTCTCGGCGAGCATGGTCTTGATCTTCATCACGCCCGCATTGTTGACTAACACCGTGGGGTCGCCGTGCTTGGAGCGGATGGTCTGGGCTACCTCTGCGAGGTTGGCGGAGGAGGTGATATCAGCCTCGTAGAAGTAGGCGTTTGCAGCTGTGATACTAGTTAGACGAGTGAAAGTATAGAAGTTAGGGGCCAGGAGAGAGTGTTAACTAACGAAGAGGAGTCCTAGGAGGCATAACATCCAAGCTGATAACCTTGATACCCTTCGCCGCCAGCTTCCGCACGAGCAAATCCCCAAGACCACCTGAGCCCCCCGTGACGACTACTACTTCCTGGCTCCACACATACCGGTCCGAGACGAAGTTATTCAGCACTGATTGAGAGAGTAGGCCGTTGACTTTGCGGAGAGAGAGGATGGCCAGTATGGTGGGGAGAGCGAGCTTGACGCTGCGGGGGGTGTTTACCCATCCCATTACGAGCTTGATAGCCAGTGGCTGGAGGCTTTGGGGTATCGTGATCGCCATGGTTACGGTGTGATAGTAAGCGGTCTATAATACGATAAATGCAAATATAAGCTCAAGGTTGATACCCTAGGATGAATATGCCTAGATACTTTACTGAAGAAAGAGTTAAATGCTGGTAGTTAAGATATCCTATATTATAGTTGTGATGGGGGTTGATCCCAAATAGCCTCGGTCCAGAACGTGGTTCTGAGCTTCTTGGCGGGAAGCACATGACAACTCACGAAAGTCGCCCTTGAACACTTTCTTCTCACTTAATCTCGAGCTTCACAATTTACTTTCTTTAAAATAGCAATAAATTAGTATTGAATTCTAAATATTTGACGCCGTCGCGAATGAACGCCAGTATCAAATCTATGTATTGTCTCCCAACCTCCCACGCCAACGTCCCAGGGTCGCACTCTACATAAACTGGCCCCAGACTTCAAACGGTCGCTGTAACTACGCTGTGTACCAGCCACAAGCCGCTGCATTGCTCAAGTAAATCTCACACCTACGCCACGCGATTCAAATCCTTGGCCTTCGCCGCTGCCCGCTGGCAAGCGTGATCAAACTGGATACTCAACAGACTAACCACCAGTGCTGCCAATCCTGAAAACAGCGTGACCACGTAAGCGTTGCGGTAACACTCCAGGCCCAGGTCGCACACGCGATCGCCATCTTTGCCAATGACACTATGGGCGTCGAACACGACGCCATAGAAGAGATTGAAGATGTTCCCGGACAGGACGGGTGCGAGGGTCATGAAGCCCCAATTGGTAGAAAGGCCGTGGATGCCAAACACCTCCGCGACGATTGAGGGGAAGACGCCGAAGAGGAACCCGTACGCCAGACCGCAGAGCGATGAGACGAGGAATAGATAGTGTGGGTCTCTGATGGTTATGGCGAGGAGCTGTGCGATCGTGAAGATGGCTGAAGCTATGGTGAGGCACCATGTGCGGCTTGCTTGAAGGCGTCGCACGAGGATGTCGGACCCAACGCCGCTGAGGAGGCGGCCGAAAAAGCTGCATATGGAGAGGATAGAGACGTGCATTGCACGGCGCTTCGTGATGTAGGTAGGGTCAGTGTTGGGGTCGTAGTGGCGCCACAGGGCAGTTGCGTCATTGCCGATGTTACTACGGCAGATGTTAGGCATGTGTAGTTGTGGATGGGCGTAGATAGGATGACTTACTTGATGGTCATCAAACCGATGCCGGAGAGGAGGCCCATGAGCGCGAAGAGGAACCAGAATTTGGTGTTCATGAATAGGCGTAGGCCACGGATATCTACATGGTGGGAAGGGTCTTTATGAGCCACATTTCCTTCTAAGTCGTCACGAATCGAGGCATTCGATGATAGCAACGAGGACGTCTCGCTGATCTCGATCGGGACGGTGACCGGTGCGGCGGCACCGGACTCTGAAGTGGTTTCCAATGAGGATGTGTTTGATATAGAAATGAGGCAAAGGGAAATACAACGTACCAGGTTCCATAGACGCACGTCGGTTCGCGTGTTTAGTCTCTTGGGATCGAGTGCGGATCAAGGGGTTGGAATCCGTGCTTGAAGGTGTATCGCTTGTGGGAATCGAAGAATATGCCGAATGTGGGTAGATATGCATGAAGAAGAACGAGACAAAGATTATGCCTGATGTTCCAGCAGCAAGGAGAAGCAGGAAGTCACCCGTATTGCCTTCGAAGGCAAGCTGGGCAAACGCAGAGAAGAAGAAGGCGCTGAGGCCAAATGCAGCCAGCGGGAATGCCGTAGCTGTCCCTCGGTGGTGAGGCCAGTTGAGGGCAGAGACTTTCACGGCTGCTGCGAATGCACTGCAGCTTCCGAATCCCGTACATACTGCATAGAAACACAGCGCAGCCAGTGACCCCTCCCCGCTCACATATGCTTGTCGTAGAGGAAAGTAGCCCACTCCCAGCAACAGAGCGCCGGCTAGAACAGCAGGTCGAGGTCCCTTATTGTCGACGAATATCCCAACTGGTATGCCCATAGCGTACATTCCCATATTGGCGGAAGTTCCCTAGATATCTTAGCTTCGGGTCCATAGATGCGTGGTCCAGAGCCTTACGATCAAGTTGCTTTCTGTCGAGGAGAGCTGCAGCTTCTCCGCAAACTGGGGTCCCCACGCCGAATAGGCATACTATTTGAGTCAGCTCAAGCAACGACACAGGTCTGTAGAACCTACGTTTGTCCCGCAAGCAATGGATATGGCTGTGGCAGCGATGCTGGACACAACTCGCGCCCTCGTCAGGGATCTTTCAGAGGCCATTGCAGGCGAATTGGATGCTAATAGTTGCCGGTAAAATTACGAGGCCATGTAGTTGATGAATGCCGTGCTCACAGAGTCGTCGGCAGCTTCTTCTATATCTGCATGCTGAACACTGGATTGGTGGAACGTTTGCTGTTGATTGTGGTCTGTAAGCAGAAGTTGTGTTCATCCCCAAGCCGACGCCGGTGTCTGGGCCTAACTTGGCCTTATCGGGTATTACGCGATAAGGACATGATGATCTAGCCCAATAAGGCTAGTATATGCCGAGCCGCGATGTCATCGAGCAGGCCGCGTGGGTGAGACCCTTCGTCGGCGCTTCCTCAAACCACAACCACGATCGTGCGAGTAAACACAAACTCATAACTGTACTGCTTTCCGCCAGGCTCTATAGCATACTGCGGGAAGATGGGTGCTCTATTATCTATCCCGCTATTGGCGGTGCCCAGCATCGGCACTGTAAGTTGCAGCCTCCCGCGTGGGATGCCTCGTCCTCTTGCTAACACCAGGACAGGTCCTAGGCTTCGCAGCTTCGTGTTGCGGCGCGGCGACTTGCTCAGCGATATGTAGCATGTGCGGTAAATGTGGCAACAGGTATGTGAATTCGAGATACGATGGACTCTCATCAGGCAACTAACTATTGCCCTAGTGTCGCCACACGTATCGCCTATGCCCTTATTCTTATGGTTAACTCGATCTTTGCCTGGATTATGCTCACGCCGTGGGCGATAAACAAACTACAACATTTGACACTCGATTATATGACGATCAGCTGCCCGGAAGGCGCATGCTATGGATGGGTTGCTGTCCATCGCATCAACTTTGCGCTCGGGGTTCTTCACCTGTTGCTGGCGTTACTCCTCCTTGGTGTCAGGTCTTCGAAGGACCAACGAGCCGGTATTCAGAATGGATTCTGGGGTCCTAAGATTATTGCATGGCTTGCGCTGATTGTCCTGTCGTTCCTCATCCCCGATGGATTCTTCATGGTCTGGGGCAACTACATTGCCTTTGCAGGCGCGATGCTATTCCTCCTACTCGGCCTCATCCTCTTAGTTGATCTGGCGCATACATGGGCAGAATACTGTCTATCCCAAATCGAGGAGAACGATTCGAAGGCATGGAGGGGTATTCTCATCGGATCCACTCTTGGGATGTACGCGATCTCGATCACGATGACTGTTGTGCAATACGTCTTCTTCGCTGGCGGAGGATGCTCTATGAACCAGGCAGCAATCACAATCAACTTGATTCTCCTGTTTGTTGTGTCGGCGATTTCCGTTCACCCTGGCATCCAAGACTATAATCCAAAGGCCGGGCTTGCGCAATCAGCCATGGTTGCTATCTACTGCACCTATCTCACCATGTCCGCAGTTTCCATGGAGCCTGACGACAAGCACTGCAACCCCCTTGTCAGAGGGGGACAAGCGACAAGAACTACGACGGTTGTCATTGGTGCTATTGTTACCATGCTTACTGTTGCGTACACAACCACCCGCGCTGCAACTCAAGGCATGGCACTCGGTGGCTCAACCCAAAGCATCAGGCTCTCAGATGACGAGCACGGACTTATCACCACGCAGCCCGACAGCCGCCGTGAAATGCGCGCTGCCGCTCTCCGTCAAGCTGTAGCTGAAGGCAGTCTCCCGGCCGATGCACTCCTGGACGACGACAGCGACGACGAGAGCGACGCTGGGCGCACGGGCAAGGATGATGAGCGTGGCGCGACTCAATACAACTACTCCCTCTTCCATATCATCTTCTTCCTTGCAACGGCCTGGGTTGCGACGCTGCTTACTATGAATTTTGAGGAGGACTCGTCAGAGGATGGCCTTGACTTCGTGCCGGTGGGAAGGACGTACTGGGCTAGCTGGGTGAAGATTGTGAGTGCGTGGGTGTGCTATGGTATCTACACGTGGACTCTGGTAGCGCCAGTGGTTCTTCCTGATCGTTTTGAATTTTCATGAGGAGAGGCTGGTTGGTAGGCGTTGGCATGCTGTGCGCTGTACATAGTAGTTTTTCAATACCGCATTGGTTTATGTAGATACAATCGCGAGTGGAACCTAAATAGTAGTCTTGAGGACTATAATCTGAATGGATATCCCTTTTCTAGTAATAAGGAATGTCTTTCTCCAATTCCCAGTACCTTCCAGCTGTGTCTATAAATATCGTCCTTTTTATAGCAGATGCCCCTTTTCTTGGGGGTCAAGGCGGTTGCCATATTAGGGCGCGCATTAAATTCAAGAAGACGATGCCACCAGCATCTATGCCCGCTGCTACTCGTACTGATCTGACTGCACTAGGTAGAAGGGTGTGCGGGCGTGGCACGAGGGCGTCACGGGGGACCGACTAATCCTGGCACACCACACTTCTTTTACTGCTTGCCATTTAGGCTGGGCGCATTGGTTGTTAAATTGTCCAGCGAAAGGCACAGCATTCGTCAAAAAGGCTTAAAGCACAAGAGATGGAGCTAGCAGATCCGCAACCCCCGAAGTACTATCGGCCCTAATTAAAGCGGAAGTATAAAAATCCATGAATAATTCCACTGTAAATATAATTCGCTCTTTTTGGTCAGTTCCTCCAATTAACTTGTGCCCGATTAAATAACCGGCCTTCGCACTCATGAAAACCTGAAAGTGCTGGTAGATGAAAGAGGCCTTGATATACATGCACCTTGAAAGAGTGAGAATAAGAGTTATAATACTGCCGAACGAAAGTGCCGGATCTGTCGACTATTTCGGCATATATATTAGGTTGCGGAGTAATTCCTACCGTTTTTTCATAGTTCCCTTGTACGACACCGCCTTCTAAGGCGCTATAATCAATATACCCCACACAGAGTTTAAGTTTATAATCTCGTGCCCGGAGCCGGATGGGCAACTATATTAAATTCTTCAAATACACCCCACCGGACGTGTCAGTAGATCACCTCGCTTTTAGGCTGTGCCTATGTCCCGCATATGCGCCATGGGCCCCCGCCATTCCCTCTCAACTGAACTGTATATGAACAAGCCATCAGAATGTGACCCCAGATTTTCCTGATGTGAGACTGACTGCTTTAACTGCATCGAGGAGGAAGAAAGTTGACCGTTCTTTAACTCATAAATATGCTGCTCCTCCGTTCATTCTTCTTGGCCATCCCCTTCGTGGGCTTATCCACGGCGGCCCTCACATACAAAGGAGCAGACTGGTCATCGGTGCCAGTAGAAGAAAAAGCTGGAAAATCGTATAAGAACACAGCAGGGACGAGTCAGCCGTTTGAGACAATTTTGAAAGCCAGCGGTGCCAACACCGTACGCCAGCGTATCTGGGTCAACCCATCCGATGGCAATTACAACTTAGACTACAATATCAAGCTGGCAAAACGAGCCAAAGCTGCTGGGTTGAAGATCTACCTCGACCTTCACTACGCTGACAGCTGGGCCGATCCAGGAAAGCAGCCCACCCCGTCAGCATGGGCGAGCCAGGGTATCAACGACCTTGCCAACACCGTCTACCAATACACCTTGAACATCGCCAACACCTTCGCCAGCAACGGCATAGATGTGGCTCTCATGTCCATTGGCAATGAGATCACTGCTGGTATGCTCTGGCCCCTTGGAAAGATCGCCAACTCGGGCGGAGCATACAACACTGCGCGCCTGTTGCACTCCGCTGCATGGGGTATCAAGGATTCCAACTGGGGAACCAAACCACTCATCATGATCCACCTGGACAATGGCTGGAACTGGGATACCCAGAAGTGGTGGTACGACCTGATCCTCTCCCAGGGTCCCCTCCTTGCTTCCGATTACGACGTCCAGGGTGTCTCGTACTATCCGTTCTACAACTCCGCTGCCAAGCTCTCGTCCCTCAAGACTAGCATCACCAACATGAGATCGACTTACGGCAAGCAGGTCCAGGTCGTTGAGACGGACTGGCCCACGTACTGCCCGAAACCCGCATATGCCTTCCCCTCAGACATCTCGAGCATCCCATTCAGCCCAGAGGGACAAACGACGTTCATGAAGAATTTGGCGTCTACGATCTCGTCAGCTGGTGGGAACGGGCTCTTCTATTGGGAGCCGGCGTGGATTGATAATGCGAGCTTGGGAAGCAGCTGTGGGTATAACTTGATGGTTGATGATACGGGGAAGGCCATGTCTAGCTTGGCGGTATTTGGATCAATCTGAGTATAGTGAACAATATTCTATGCTTTAGCAATATCACGACTTTGGTTCCATTGTATGACTGCCTCTGACTGACTTGTTAAAGAAGATAAAACAGGAAGGACCTGGATAGATAAATCTCAGGGATCCTTCTGCTCCATGGGGGAAAATACTTCTGGTTATACCTCGCGCCTCAGATATGACCATGGAGTCAGGCTGCCTGGGGTGTGTGTGGCCTTGACCCCCACAAGTGGCGTTTGTAATGCGTTGTTCGATTGATGTCCCGTCTCGGGTTACCCCGCCACAAATGAGGCTGACCGCACAAGTCGTGGGGGCTGAGGGGTGAGAGATGGTCCTGCATTTGCGCCGCGCAAGGTTGACCTGCAATACCAACACGGCTTCGCAAAGCTTCTGATATAAAGCACTCCCATGGATGAGAACTATACATATCAGGTGATTCCGCTTCATCTTCTGGAACCTTTGATCCCACTTCTGTGAATCTCCATCATATATGTCGAAAGGCAGTATCGAGTCTAGTGGTCCGTGAGGCTGTAGCACCCCAGCAGGTTCCAACCAAATGGTGTGTTTGCGGGATGAGATATTTTTTCAAATCTATCCATATTTCAACTCTCCTTCACCTATATTTCATGTTTATAACTAATGTGTCAAGAAAACCTTCCTCCGCCGCAAGAAACGGCACGGCGACGGAGACGGATCGAAAAACCATTCAGCTGACGATGAGCTTCGCGATTCGGACGGTACTGCGTCCTCAAATGTCACTGCACACCCCCCATTGCCATTGTTATTTCGACACTCCCATCAAAGTACCCAGTCGGGCCACAAGGACTCCACTCATGAACAACAGCCAGTGTCGCAACCAAAACTTTCATCGAATATCGAGGTGCGAAAACCTCCTGCCAAGGACCCTCTTGGTCTAGAAGTTATCTATAGACCGCCTGGAGAGCACAAGGTTGATATTGTTTTTGTACACGGCCTTGGTGGTGGTAGTCGAAGGACGTGGTCTAAAGGCAGCAATCCTGACAACTTCTGGCCGCTTAACTTGCTACCATTTGAGGCCGAAATCGAGGAGGCGCGAATTTCGACATTCGGGTACAATGGTACCTTTAATGGACCAGGGATCAGAAACTTGATGCTGTTCTCGGAGCTTTCTAAGGATTTTCTATACAATCTGAAGTATGCATCGTATGAGTCTGAACAAGGGACAAAATATTTTGGGATAGGTGAAGTACGTACGACAAATAATATTGATATGTGCTTGAAAAACAAAGTCTAACGTGACTACAGAAGCCCATCATTTTTATAGCCCATTCAATGGGTGGACTTATAGTGAAAGAAGCATACCTGGAAGGGCAAATTGATTTCCGGTATAAGGAAATCATTAAATCGGTCTCATCTATCATATTCCTCTCAACTCCACACCGTGGAAGCAACATGCCTGAGACATTGCACAAAATTTTTGGGGTTACAAACATAAATTACCATACGAAGTATCTTGAAGACCTGGTGCCCAGGTCCCAAGTGCTACAGAGTCTGAACGACCGATTCAGGCATGTGGCATCGAATTTACAAATTGTATCGTTTTATGAAACGCTCCCAACAGCAATAGTTATGCGAAAGATGGTAAGCAACTCGGTTCGAAGTTAGTGAAGGTTTTTAACGGCTAACTGAGGAACGTAGATGGTGTTGGAGAAAGACTCATCCATTTTGGGCTATCCTGGGGAAATATCAAAACCACTTAACGCCGATCATCGCGGGGTTTGCAAATTTGATGGGCCTAATGACCCCAATTACGTTAGTGTACGGAATGTCATCCAGTCACTCATTAAGAGTCACAAGCCAAATGGTAAGCTATGGTTCCTCACTCAAACTGAGTCCGGCTAACAGAGTTAGTGATGTTGGTTGCAGAGGAAGTCCAGGAGAGCAGTGTACCAAAGGTATCATTCGACTTTGAGGCATACCTCTCAGCTCCTGAGTCACCAGAAAGAGACTATAATTTTTTCCGTGACAGGTGGACGCCAGGAACTTGTAACTGGATTCTTAAAAATGCCACATTCAAGGATTGGTTACAGGACACCCGCCGCAACCCCCGAGTTTTATGGATCAATGGGAACGCAGCCAGTGGAAAATCGATCCTTTCGTCTTTTGTTATTAACCACATGGCTCAACTTGGTTGGTCCTGCCAGTATTTCTTCATTCGCTTTGAAAACAACAAGAAGCGGACGTTGAATAATATGATGCGATCTCTGGCATGCCAGCTGGCACGTTCCATACCGGAATATGCCCAAAGGCTAAGGCAACTACAAGTTACGGGTGCTGATCTTAAAACAGCTGATTTCCAAAGCCTTTGGTTGTGGCTATACCAAAGGAGTCTGGTCACATTAGGCATTAAACGTCCATTGTTTTGGATCATTGATGGTGTTGATGAAGCAGAAAACCCTGAATCTATTGTAAGAGTTTTTTTGAAACTCTATTCAGCGACTATACCCATCCGTGTGTTGGTTGTGAGCCGTCCAACACATGAAATCTCATCATCCTTCCAGAAACTACAGAAGCAGATCCATTCAGACAAAATACACATCGAAGGAAACCAAGAAGATGTCCTCAGCTATATTACCAATGAAATGAATCTCGCAGGAGAATCTCCTTATCGAGAGGACATTATCCGCCAGATTCTTGAGAAAGCGCATGGCAATTTCCTGTGGGCCCGTTTTGCCGTGGAAAAAATAAACAAGTGCCATACCAGGTTAGATGTGAAAGCGGCACTGAATGAGCTCCCATTGGGAATGGAGGGACTTTATGATCGAATGGCAAACACAATCCAGACACAGCCCAATGGTAACAATCAGACGCTTTCCAAAATTATTTTGGTCTGGGCAACGTGCTCTCAGCGATCTCTAAGTGTAGAGGAGCTTCGTGATGCGCTGGGAAAGGATAGACCCCTTGATATCTATAGGGCTATTACCGATGTATGCGGAGGATTTGTGGTGATTGATAATGAGGAGAAAGTTTCCATGATCCATGCGACGGCAGTGGAATATTTGTTTCAGAAGGATCGTGAAGATCACCAGCTTGTTATCAACCAGAAAACTGCAAACGACGAGCTATTTAAGAGTTGCATACTCTGCTTGATGGACCCAAAACTTCGGAGTCGGGTAAATCGAAACGATCCACCAGTTTTCCTGGACTATGCAATGAACTTTTGGTTTATTCATCTAGCACATGGATCTGCTACTGAAACAGATGTCCTCATGCTACTGTTTAGGTTCTTACAGGAACCGCATGTGCTGACATGGATAAGCATAGCAGCCAAAAAGAAACAGCTGAGAGGGTTAATAGAAGCTCCTCGGCACATGGTGGCAGTTGCAAATATGTTAAGTGAACTCCATATACAGGATGACAATGCCATAGAGCAGCATAAAGCAATTGAGTTGCTCACAAGCTGGGCGACAGATCTTGTCAATGTTGTTGGGAAATTTGGAAGTTATTTGACCAAGGACCCAGACTCAATTTACAAATTAATCCCGCCTTTCTGCCCAGAAAACTCTGCCATTTATCGGCAGTTTGGGTGGATGGAAATGCAGGCACTTTCCGTTTCCGGAACCTCAGCCACTGAGACCTGGGATGAATGTCTGGCCTGTTTTTCATTTGGGCCAGACGATGATGCGAGTACTATTCTAGCAACCGGAAACCATATTGCCATTGTGGTCTATACCTCGTCATCCAGCCACATATATCTATACAGCTCAATCACATTTAAGGAGGAGCGCCAACTTATTCACCCAGAGTGGGTTCACGAGATCAGAGCTGGTCAAATAGGCGATCATCTTATTACCTATGGCCGTAAGGCTATAAAAGTTTGGAAAATATCCACTGGTGAATGCATTAAGACAATCAATAATGAGGCCAACAATCCAATGCCACAGGCCTTACTATTTCACGACCAGCGGAACCGAATTCTTGTTTTAGGCAAGGACAGATGCATCATATCAATTTCTATCAATGATGGCGATACCGCTGAATGGAAAATAAATCCAAGTATTATCGACAGGAGTCCGGATGATACTAAGTTAAAAGAACCGATATGTTCTGCCTTCAGCCCAGATGGAAACATGATTGCATTCGGCTATAGTGGGCACTTGGTCACAGTGTGGGAGACACAAACCCAGAAAGTTGTTTCCAAGTTGAGCATGAAATTTCACAAAGAGAATATGACGATCCCAAAATATATCGACGGTGAAATTGACAATCTTTTGTGGCATCCATCCAGCGGAGAAATTATTGGCTTGCAACGCGACGGCTTATTGTTCAAATGGGATCCATATGATGATGAATCTATTATAAAAGTGAGGGTTGAGCAAGCATACCGCCTGGCCATCAGTCCAGATGGTTCACGTCTTGCCACTGGTGATGCAGAGCATGTTATCAAAATATTTGCAACGGCTGATCTGTCCCTTCTACACAGCTTATCGACGCAAGGCTCTATCCGTAGCCTTTCATTTAGCACCAACTCGAGGCGAGTGTATGATGTACGGGGAGGGTACGGCAATGTATGGGAGCCTAGCGGTCTAGTCGACCCCACCAGCGTTGTTGGATCCCTTTCCCATAAAGAAGAATATCAATTTTCCAGAGCTCAAAATATCACGACCCTCTATGGGCAATCAATGGCGCCTATATATTGCTATGGCACCGAAAACGGACCTGGGATGTTGCGTGAGATTGGCTCTAGGGCAGTATGGCAGCTGAAAAATGGATTAGACGATGTGCCTATCCATAAACTAGCGTTGAGTGACAATGGAAGTCTAGCTGCAATTGCAGACATGAGTGGGAGGGTTTCCATAAAGGTCATTTCAAAAGACGACCAGGAGAGTGGTGACCTACAGATTCACCACGACTTTGCAATCAATATTGGTCGTAGTAGCGGAGTCATATCTCGATTGCTATTTCACCCAGGAGGCGGCCAGCTATTTGTCGACACGACTCGTGCTATATACACCATCAATATCACCTCTCATGCTGTGATTTCATCAAAGTTCGTGCGTAGGATGATGAAAACACAATGGATATGCCATCCTACCAACCCCGATTATATATTGGGCTTTTCGGATACCCTGGTCTATGTTATCAATTGGGACAACGTGGAAGAGGTCAAAACGTTTGGATATTTCCCGCCCCGTCAGGAACTGCACCCAAAATCGTCGTCATACAAACTTGTACACAACCAAGAATATAACGACCGGGCTTCCGAAGGGGAACAAGTGCCCAACTCTAAGACCAGGGGACCCGATATCTTGCTCGAAATTTTACATCATGAGCTGTTGGGGCAGCCTGGACGTGTGTACCTTGGATTTAGTGTGGCGGATATCAAAGTTGGATCTGATGGTAAAGGCAGTTTGGTGGGCGACACGGAGGCCCCCAGCAATAAACTTCCATACACAATATTGCCTCAGAATGTTACGTCTCACATACGGGAACCTCTTGCGCTATTATCACATGGAAGGCTCGTATTCCTTGATACAGAGCAGTGGATATGCACCTGGACTCTATCTTCGGCTGTTACGAAAGCCCCGCAAGCGCACAGTAACTCAGAACGAGAGGACGCAGCTCCGGCCGCCTCCGAAAGGCCACAGGTCGTTAGTGACCACAAGAAAGAAACTTACAGAAGCATCGAAAAGTATTATTTCCTCCCTGCAGATTGGGTTACTTCAGGCGACGGCCAAGCATGCTCCATCATGCGCGATGGGACTTTGCTCTGTCCGGTACGAGGCCATATATCAACGGTGCAATGTGCGCGGCTTCGAACATACTTTTCTTCGTGATGCAACTCAAAATATACGGGGCCGTATGGTGCTGTTAGCTGACTTTGTCTGAAATTCCTTTTTTAATCCAAGTTTACGGTAAGAGGCAGAACTGAGATAGAGAGGGGTAACTCTGTCAGCACCGAGATAGACTATAGCATAGGAAAATTGATCTACTCAACTTTGATAACTTTATACCATATAAGCCGCCCATATATGAAGTCTTGCACCTCAATAAGAGGATCATCGTATTTGTGACCACCATAAGTCGAATTAGACTTCGTGGGTCTCAGAAAAAGATCGGCGGGATCCACATTGGGTGTCAAAAAAGTGGAGGGCGGTTTGATCTACGCAGAGACGATATTTGGCGTTGCCCAGCCATTAATATGCTCTCATATCCCTTTGCTTTTTGTAGACCTAATTGCATATGCTTGTTGGAGAGCGGGTTACATTTATTTTAATTTAGATAATCAACAAGGAATATTAAGCATAGATTTTAGAACATTTGAATAAATTAGATAATAGTCAAGTATTATAAAATTCGGATTTTAGAACATTTAATCTGGCGCCAGCCGCCTTCCAGGTTGGTAACGATTCCAAATTTTGGTTCAAAGTGAGCCTTTGTGGCAGTACTAGTAACCTTTTGAGGTAACCAACTTACTTCTACTTGCATTTTTTGTTGCTCTATATATATTAGGGAACTATTATCAGGCATTGATCCCACTCATAGATTTAGCGTCTGTTTTGACCGAGGTGCGTTTTAGAGCGTGCCTGGAGTCTACTTTCGCTAGTGAATTGCTGAACCAGGGATATGCCTTTTTGCGGTGGATTATGGCCTGGCGTTATGTACTAATGCCTTGTGGAGTGAAGCTACTACACCAGTGCCCCCAAGAAAGATGGGCCTTCAAGTTTGACTCCCCAAATAAAGACGTCGACTGATGCTACAAATTTCAGTTTTGATATTCATGCAAAATAGATCAAGATGGGCGACCCTGACGTCTATTGCGCGATATGTGGTGGGCCTGTAGTCGAAGTCAAGATCTCCGCCAAGCCTCGCTCCGAAGTTTTCAAGGCCGCACAGCGTGGCGAGGAGCCAGACATAGACTCGGATGAATATTATTGGGAAGAGAGAACCTACGACTGCGAAATTATATCGAAGGAAGAAGCAGCGTGGACTCGTAATGTAATGGTGCTCGGCTTCAACCCGAATCCTAAAGCCCGCGTCAAGTAAGGTTTCATCTGCACCAAAATCGGCAGCGCATAGAAATTAACAAATGCAGCGGTGCCTTCCTAGCTACCTTTGGTACTTATGACGGTTTCGGTGAAGTCACAGTCCACGACTCATTTGATCCGAATTTCGACTTAGCAGAGCTAGGGGATGGTCCAAACCTGGATAACAGCTTCCAATGTTACGAGAACATGGGAGAGGAAAGTAACATTGAACCCGTGTTCCCATTCCATAGGCCATGCTACTATGTCCTTCGGCGCCAGGTGAGCGAGCGGATCGATGGGCTGCCGCTCGTGTCGGGCCTCGTGGCCATGGACAAGGACATCCTGTTTGACATGATGCGCATTCTGGCCGACTTCGACAAGTTAAATATTGACTATGGCACCCCAAATCCGCAAGAAGAAGAAGGCGGTCGCTGGATATCAAATGCTGGGAAAGAGATTTTTGCTGCAAACCCTGGGCCAGTGAAGGGGCTAGAGGGTAGGATTCGAGGGCTGATAAGCGCAGGGTACTTTACTCTATCCCAGGAAGCTGAGTTTGACTTGAGCAATGGTGTGCGGCAAGATCCATTCCAAAAGCTACCTTTTGATATTTTTATCAAGATTGGTGAGCAGTGTGAAGACTCAACAACCTTATTAAACTGGGCAAAGGCATCCTGGTTCGCAAACGTCGCCTTCCGGAGTACCCAGGAAAATTTCTGGGCGACGATAATACGAATACAGATGGGCTGGTTCTTTGAGCTACTTCCATGCCTAGATGATGACAAACTATGTTATGGGTCGAGCATGAGGGCCGTGTTTCTATGGGCTGCTTACCACTCCGAACAACACCTCGGAATAAAAGGAGGACCCTTCCTCTGCATTGCCAACCGCCGGCGCATTTGGGCCAACCCATGTACAGAATTGGCGGACCGATACTGCAGCAAGTTGCCACCTCACCTCCTCGTCGCTAACAGTAAGAATGCCCCCATTAATTTCCGTGAGATGCTTCTATCCAAGGCCACGTGGAGTCGTAAGTACGTTGTAACACACAGAAATCAAACGCAACTGTATAGCACGGTACAGAAGTGTTTTTGGATTGATGAGTGGAAAGACACATATGAGAAGACGCAAACCGTGGAAGCGTTCTTTATGCAGAGCAACGGATTTCTCACCGCTATTGCGCTGACGACTGAGGGTGGTGAGTCTCGGATGGTGGGCTCGATAGACGAGAGTTCCGTAAGGTTCAAGGCGACCATTTCAGTCGAAGATTGGATTTGTGCGATTGTCATTCATATACCAGGTATAGAATTAGTCGGAAGGCTATGGGGCAGTATAGAAGAGACATCGCCAAAAGGCATTACGGTTGGTTGGGCTCGATCCAAGCACTTCTTCACATAGCTTGCTAATAACCCTCACTGTAGATCATCTGCAAGTCTGGGAGAGAGCTTCATCTCGGTGATACGAATCAAGGTTATACTGTGCGAGCACTAGTGGCTCGCCAGGGCTATCAGGTCGTCGGGTTGGTGGCAGAAATGGCTGTAAGTCTGAGTGGCCCTTTCAGGAATGTATATGTGATGGTTCTTGTGAATTAATATACAACAAGGCGGATAACCCTTCAGCAACCTTCACCCGTCTCGGTTTAATCACAGTGCGGAACGAGGAACTAGATGAACGTCGCATCCTTCGTGACCATATAACCCGCCGAAGCCATCCGCGAATCGACGAACTTATGTGGAAAGAAGACGGAACCCGCTTCTTTGGAACCCCATACTGGAACAACCCTTCCTTGAAAGTCTTGCACAGGGACGAAGCACAAGAGCTAGGAGAGTTGGATGGCTGGCTGACTGAGGTCCATCAACAGCTTGTGCCACAGGAGGCTCTCATCTGGGCCAAGGACATGACAGAACTCCGACAGCTCAAGAGGGTGTCTATCTTTACGACATATTCACACATGGCGGATATCAGCGGCGTCAAGGTCGAAGCTTACCATATTTGTGGTTTAGGGGTCATGTTCTCGGAGGAGCACACCGAGGGCCAGCGGTTAATTGGTGTCGAGGGGAAACTTGAAGTAGATGGTCAAGGAGATGACCTTCCTGCCCTCGACGGACCACGTATTCCGCATCGCGCGGGTGCAAAGCTCCGCGAGATGAAGGGAGACGGGAATTTCCGCATTGATCTTGATATCGATGGGCCAGGCGGTGAGATTATAACAGAAGTATTCCTTGGTTGGGGCGAATATGACTCTGTAGACTGTCTTAGGGTGGGTTGACCACGCCTATGGTAATCTTGTTCAAGTTGTGCTAAGAAGTCAAATAGTTCCGCACCAACCGTGACCGAGAGGTCGGATGCTCGACAGCACCCAACGGATGTTATTCGGGTCCCGACGCGCCAGAGTGGGTTTCTATGAAGTCCTCGCCAAACAAGACCATCGTTGGCATCATTGCGACATTCGCTGGTGGCCCTGGTGTAAGCAGGGGCGAGGCGCCTCGTGTGAGATCATCCGAAGTTTTCTGTACAGATAATGAGACTGATAAGCGACAGACTCACACAGAATTAACGTCATTGGCGGCACTCTCAATGTCATTGGGCATCGACGAAGAGACAGTGGAGGAAAGCGACGAAGAGGACGAAGGAGAGAGTGAGGACTATGAGGAAGCCGACAATGAAATGTATGAAATGGATGACGTAGATGAATAAAGAGAAAATAAATGTAAAGAATTACATATCAAAACAATAAAGGAGTTTCTTCCTACCAAATCTGAGTCCAAGCATAGGTTGCTGATAGTCCCTCTGTATGCATTCCAAATTCTTGTAATTTCGCGTGGGGAAGATGCTAACTAAACTAAATTTAGTCTCTCTCCAGTATACTAGTTCCACCAATGATCAGCCCGCAATATTTTGGGATTGTACTAAAGTCTAGGGGCACCTATATTTAGAGAGTTACACTAACCAAACTGGGCCTAAATCTGACAGCTGTAAACAAGCGTTTTAGGGGTGCACATCTCTACCCTTGACAACTACCAATTGGCATCACTGACTATGCTAGCCAAGTGGGCGAAGCATTGTTGAAGGATTGAAGGAGACAAAACCCTGCTCGCTGTAGCTTGTAATTCAGCTCAATATACGAAACAATGGCTTGACCTACCACGAGGAGCCCGGAAGCTCCAGATATAAGCTTCCCACGTAGCCCCCATTCCTCGCCATTTCGACTTGAGCAACCCCTTTAACAGTTTCTCACCGAATATGCTTCGCTATTCTGTAATACTATTAGTTGCCGCCTTTGCCACGGCGGCGACGGCAACGGCGACTAAACCGCCACCAGTGACTGTTACTGTTACTGTTGCGTGCGAGTCTACTCCTACGCCCACGGTCGACCTTGGATATGGACGGTACGCTGCAACTGTCAATGTGAGTAATAACCCCTTTATTATATGCCACTGTGCCATCTGACCTCCCACAGGACACTGGATACCCTTACTACAAGTTCAGTAACATCCGATATGCAGCACCTCCCGTTGGAGATCTCCGCTTCAGACAACCAGTTGCGCCATCAGGCAGTGACAGCACTGTCCATGGTGGCAAGACTGGCTACTCATGCATGCAAGGCGATCCAGGTACGTTATTCCATTCCTATTTGCACTACTACAGCTGAACATGTAAGCTTGGTACCTCCAAGTTGCTGCTGGGCTAGTGCTGCCAGCATTTATAGAGGGAAAGAATGTTTCGAGTGTCGTGGGCAAAGCTGCCGCATCACAAGATTCTAGTTCTCCGGCAACTCCTAGTTTATCTGATATCCCCAAACAAGATGCTACTACTTCGGAGGACTGCCTGTTTTTGGACGTGCTGGTCCCACAGACAATATACGAGTCCCCTCGAAGGACAGATACCAAAGGAAAGGGAGGCGGTATGTAAATCGAAACCTGCAAGACAGGAAATTACTGACATCAGGCAGCACCGGTCCTGGTTTGGATCTATGGTGGTGGATATACGTCGGGCGATAAAAGTGGCCATGCTGAGACCCTCCTCGCGAGCGCCAAAGACAATGGTGAGGATGGGTTCATATATGTGGCTTTTAACTACCGCTTGGGTATGTTTGGTTGGCTCGCTGGTTCAACTTTAGAAAAAGATGGCTCGGCAAACGTTGGCCTCTATGATCAGAAACTCGCCTTGGAATGGATTCAGAGCAATATCCACCTCTTTGGCGGAGATGCGGAGAGAGTCACAGTTATGGGAGAGAGTGCCGGCGCAAGTTCCATAATGCACCATATCACGGCATATGGGGGAAAGAAGGGGAATGCACCTTTTCGGAGAGCCATACTCCAGAGCCCAGGCTGGCTCCCCAGTAAGGCCGCCGCCGCCGACGAAAATATCTTTCAACAGACGCTCACAATCGCATCTACTGTCACCAATAAGAAGATCACTACCCTTAGTGGCTTACGCAGTCTTACGTCAAGCGAGCTCTACTTGGTCAATGCTGCTGTGGTTGGCCTCTCGCCATATGGAAGCTTCACCTACGGCCCGACGGTAGACGGCGACTACGTACCGAAACTCCCTGGGGATTTGCTCCTTAATGGGAACTTTGACAAGAGCGTTGAAGTTATGGCTGCGCATAACGCCAATGAAGGCATCCTCTTCGCAACGCCCTTTGCAAAGTCCAACAAAGACATGGCAACGTACCTCAAGTCTGCTGTCCCATCCTTGGACGACACGGCATTGGAAGTTATCCTCGACTCTGTGTACCCTGAAGTCTTCGACGGCTCTTTTGACTACACCGACCAATTCGAGCGAGCCGCGACCATTGTGGGCGAGGCATTTTTCTCGTGCAACACGCGTTACCTCGAAGCCGCGTTTGGGGAGAAGTCATACAGCTATCTCTTTGACGCTGTAAACAGGGGCTTCCATGGCGAAGACTTGACATACACTTTCTACAACGGCCCATCAGCTGTCGCAGATGGCGGAACCGTCAACGCAACAGTCGCCAAAGCGCTGCAGAGTTATATCACCCACTTCGTGGCGACGGGTAACCCGAACGGAGGTTCTGCGCCATTCTTCCCTCAGTACGGGTCGAATTCGAGCGTGCAGGTCGTGGCGCCGGATGACTTTGGGACTCAGATTACGGATCCTGAGGATAACAAGAGGTGTTCGTGGTGGCAGTCAGCGACCGTGTATGATGACTGAGGAGTTGAAGTTTAACTGGAGGAATTAATCGTTACGTCCAGCCTCGGGATGTGAAATGTTGGCTATATTTCCGAAATATGAGTACACCATACTTGAATGGTCCCGCTGTCGCTGCCCCTCCTCTTCTTCATTTCTCGACAACGGGAGCATCTATTCCTAGCTGTCTAGGGTGAGGCAAAATTTATATAAGGAGACAAAACAAAATGACAAAAACATACAACAGTGGGTATTACTATTCCTAAGGCAACGTAGGTAGATACAGGCACTTACGCTACTACTATATTAGTTATTAGCTTTATTACCCTCCTTTATAACGTATTTCACGTACGAGTGGGCCACACGGACGAGTGGGCCACGAAAACACCAAAATTGACTATTACTGCCTACTACTACACCACTACCCTACATAATGACCCTTATTCGATCGTAATTGAATCCTCGTGCCTCGTACATGTACGGGAGTTATGGCCCATAATACCACATATGCCACAGCGCTTCTGTCGGCCTGTAGAACCCACCTGCCGACTACGCTCACTTGCCACCTCCGTACGGACTTGAGCTTCTACCTCAGCACTCTGAAGCATATCCTCTCCCTCTCGTACGGAGAGACTGCCGCCTTGCATTATACGCCTCTTGCGCTTCCTTTCCCTCCTCTTTTTCTGTTCATTTGCTGCTTGTAGAGCCTTAACTTCTGCCTTGAGTAGAATAGCAGAATGCATCATAACCTAAGCTCCTTTGGCAAGCCGGCTTAGTGCGTCATTAATTGAGGTAGGAGAGCTATTCTGATGTTGTATAACACGGTTCTTAATATGCTCTGTCTAGAAATCAAGCTCCCTTATAGTTTGAGGAGTCTTTGAAGTCTAATTGTTACTCTCAACTATAGGAGGAGTTGGAGTTCTTAAGTGTAGATTTAAGTGAGAGAGGACACTCTGTGGCTCGTACGGAACTAGCCCTGTAGCTCGGAATCCGCTCTTAATGTTCTGCTCTGTAAATGTAGCTTTAAATGCTTCTTTAAATGCAGAGAGGAACTCAAGCTTTGTAATGTGGTTTAGCTGGTTCCGTACGAAGGTTTCAATCTGCTTTCCGTACGAAAGCTTTAGTAGTGCAAAGCAGCTTACATCAAGAGGCTGAAGAATGTGTGATGAGTGTGGTGGCATACAGAGCGTGATTATCTTCCGTTCTGTGTAGTAGTGCTGAAATTGAGCAGAGAGGTAGCTCTCATGTCCGTCGAGAATAAGAAGGCAATAGGTTCCGACTATACGAGCATTTGTATGCTGATCGAAGTGTTGAATCCACTTATACCTAATTGAATTTGAAGTCCACCTATTCTCACTTAGTGTAATCACCTAGTCGTCTAGTAATCCTGAGTCCTCATACCAAGCAGAGAGGTGATTCTGCGCCTTAAAAATGATGAATGGCGGGAGTGCCCATCCGTACGAATTAACACCTTGGATAATTGACACCCACTCTCTATTCCCTGGCTGTATAGTCTTCGGACGGCTCTTTGCTTCTAAGCTTGTAACTACCTTTGCAGTAGCAATAACTCCCATTGCGAAACCTGCTTCATCAAAGTTGTAGATATCCTGCTCTAAGATTCCGTATTTTGCAACTGTGTTTCGTACGAGGGAGAACCACCCTTTAATTATCTTCGGATCTTCGCATTTTGCTCGTTTATAATTATACTTCCGACTAAACTTTGCTTTGAGTTCCGTACGACGCTTAATGAAGGTAGTAGTCCAGTTCTTCCCAACAGAGCTCTCGCCTCGTTCGGAGAGTAGAAGGTCAGCCATTTCTTGTACAGCTTGCAGCCGGGGCGGAAATCCACGTGAATCTAGGTTAAGGATGTACCGAACGAGAGCTGACTCTTCGTACGGAGTCAACTTCTGTAAGTTAGGAATAGAATCGCGTCGGGAAGCCATTCCATTCATTCTTCTACTAAGGGTCATCCGTGGTACATCGTACGACAATGCAGCAGCTCGGACACTTTTAAATTGATGTTCCTTTAGTGCCTGAATAGCTAGAAGTAATCTATCCTCTTGATTAGAGGATTGGGCTTGTGTTGGTTGTGGCATTGTTAACGGTAATCTAGTTGACGCGTTTTGGTGTTTTCGTGGCCCACTCGTCCGTGTGGCCCACTCGTACGTGAAATACGTTAGTCTATAATTAAGTATGGTAATAAAGTTGAAGGCGCGGGGTTTAGATGCTTGTTAGTCCAACTGATCGCTCATATGCGAACAGAGATGTTGTCCATCCTAGGCCAACCCATCTTCTGTAGTTCTTATATTTATTCTGTTAATTTGTCCTATAATATATTGTGTGTATAAGTACTTTCTAAACTTCCACCTACTTCTAGCTACTATTACCCTTCTTACTAAGGAACAGTTGCTAATAAACATTATAAACTCTTTCCTAGAGTTGTTATAGAACCTTAAAACATTCCCTATAAAACTAAATCTCTTAGTGCATGCTACCTAGCTCCTTTATAAGCTTATAGACGCTTATAGACAAGCTTAGACTTACTAAGGAAGTAAGCCTAGGGCTTGTAGCTAGCAAGGCTTCTATAAGTGCTTAGGTTGGAATATCCTATTAGTATAAAGGGCAGTGTAGTACAAAGAGGTGCTAGTGTTATAAGGAAGGAAAGGAGTGTATAGTACACTCTTATAATAATGATTATAATTGTGGCTATTTATTAGGCCTAGCTACTCGAATAGAAATAGCTTTAGTTAAGAGGCCTCACTAGAAACGAGCACGGGCAGACACAGTAGATAATACTACGTAGCTATATAGATCAAATGATAACTTCTACTATTTCTAGTTTACAGTTGAGCCGGCCAGTTCATGAACAGGCCGGCCCAACTATGAACAAGAAAAATCTCTGTTGGGCCGGCCGGTTCATGAACCAGCTCATATCAGGGTTGGGCCGGAACATAGCAAACAAATATAAAAAAATAAACAACTGAGAAATATCTCCAAGTCCCGCCTAAACCTTCTATTGGCTAATCGTAAACCTAGCTCTTAACACTTTATAATTACAACTTTTGCTATTGGAGATTAAGGAGTTATACGCAAACAACCCATACACGAACGCAACGTCCTGACTTGTCCGTCTGTCCAAATTACGCGTGCGGTGCACCAGCCCCAGTCCCAAGACATGAACTCAACGCTATAACCTCCCTACCCCGTCCTGAAGCGCACGCGCAACTCTCGAACCCCCTCACCTCGTCCAAGAATAACTCAGCCAGAATTCTGTAACACAATCGGTTGTGGATCACCAGTCCCACTACTGATTTGTCCCTGCATATGCGCTAGGTTCCAGTTTGTCACATCGAAAGCTTTCTGATCTGGATGGGGATGCAGGGTTATATAACGAGCTGTCCTTGGCCGCTTTATCCTCGCATTTTGTTTCTTCATTTCGACATAGTATCGCCTTGTCGTCTTCTGGTCTGAGCACTACTAGTGGGGTCTGCTCGCGCCGCTGCTTCCCGGCGATTTCTTTATTCGCTGTGGTACAACTGCCATCTTTGACAGGGGAGAGTTCTCTCTGGGCGTCGTCAAGGAGGGAACAGAGGGTTTGACTTGTGATAATTAGCGCGTCATTCATATTGTTTGGTGGTCCAGTTACGGCATCCGTCACAAAGTGTCGTAATTAGAAGTGGAGTTAAATTGAGTTAGGTTTTAGGTTACTAGTTTTATTAGGGAAAATATGCTTGATGTTAGATAGTAAATCGACCGGGTGGATAGCATGTGGCCGACCTGATATTTCACTATTTGTTTAGCAACCAGGCACAGCTTTCCAAACCCCTTTGCTTCATAGAAAGGTTCCTCGTGGACGGCGGCTGGGGTTTGGTGACTGTCCCAGGGTCAACTTTCCTTCGAGGTAATGGCCTGTAATCGCCTCCTCGTGTCGGAAAACTTATTATCAATCTCTAACCACAAATGTAGGCTACGATTCTCTGACAATCATCAAGATCACTTGTGAGTTTCTGCGGCCTTATCGTAGGAAGTTGAGTCTGAGACTTCTATAGTTTCTTTGTTCTACTGTCCTGTTCTTAGGAGCGGTAACTGCAGCGCGTAATTCCTCAGTCGAAACATAGAACTTGACTTTTAAAATAACCCTTTTCTATTTCTTACACTCTATAGGCTTATTTGCAACTGTTTGTAGGTTATAAGTTTCGTGTTGGCGGACAATAGCGCGAAATTCAAGTCGCTCAGTCTCATCAGAGTACTTATCGTACGTGGCGAGCGCTTCCTGATAAGCCACATTATAAATGCTTTAACTAATGCATGGCATTTCAAAACCTCGTCTGCCATTTTGGGTTCGTCCTTATACGCTCACCATACACCCAAAAGGCCCACGGAACGATCGCCAATGCCAGAGCTATAAACGCCAATAAACTGTTGCCCCAGCCAAGCCCTAATTTGTTGTATAGATTCAAACCAAACAAGGGGAAGAGAGCACCAAAAAGGCTTCTCAGAACGGCGCTGGCGGCAATGACGCTTGCAGAGTGGCTCGTGAAGGCATCTATTAGGTAAGTCTGAACACACATGACTATTCCAATCATGCCAAAACCAGTGACGGCTGTTCCTATTTCAGGAACTATCCAATGTACCCGTTTCTCAGCTCCCCAACCATAAATAAACAAGCCAGCTGGGATGGCGAGTGCTGCCGGGAATGTAATAATTGGTGGAAGACGGTCCTCAGGACGTGGCTGCCGCCCTGCTTTGATTACCGATCGGATACTGCGATCAGAGAGCGTGCCGGCATAAGCTAAACCCGCCACAGTGCCCACCCCAGAGCCAAGGAACGATAGTCCTGCCATTGAAGAATTGAAGCCATATCTGTAGAAAATTAGTAGTTGGTTCTTTACGGAGGGTTTGAAATTTATTGCCAAGAAACATCATCTGAGCTCTTAGAACTTATGAATATAGATGATTGGAACAATAAGAAGCATTTATCCTGAAGTACTTACTGATCTCTGAAGACAAACGTGAAAGTTCTAAAATAGTGAAAATGACAAGTTAACGATCATGATCCAGAATCCAAAATCAACGGGGCGAAATGTACTCACGTGAAGAGGATATAAAGCAATCCATATGCGACGGCGATGTACACACACATCATAGTGACGATTGGAGAGAAAATGAACATTTTTGCTGGTCGAACAATATTATAGAGAAAGGCGTCCTTCTCACTGAGCCCAGTGTCAAGCTTCGAGCATAGAGCAGTATTACCAGTCTCTTTCCGCAAACGGGCAACTTTGCGGGTTAAAAGGACGGGAGCATATGTTTCTCGCAACAAGAAAAATGATATCAAAGTGATGACACCCGACTGTTTGATGTCAGCCACGCATAGTCTCCTAGTGCCACAGGAACATGTGGTGTACCAGAATTGTAAGAACCCAGAACACCCAGCGCCACCCCTTGGATTCGCATAGAAACCCGCCTACAACTGGGAAAAAGAGTTAGCACCTGTTACTTTGGAATGGTCTAGGGAACGTACCAGGTCCTATCATAGGCCCTAGAATTGGACCTACAGACCAGATCGCCATCGCTCTGCCCCTCTTTTCTGGAGGCATCATATCCGAAATCGATCCACCGCCGCACGTAATGACAGCGACCCCAGCGACGCCCGCCAAAAAGCGAACAGCAAGAAGCATGCCCATATTGGTTGCAACAGCTGAAAGAATGGTAAAGATGAGGAACAAGACATTGCATATGTTATAGACTGGTAGACGCCCGTATATCTCGCTCATTGGTGCCATTAACAGTGGACCAAATGCAAATCCCAGAACGAATATAGAGACGAGAAAGGTAGCAAGTGTGTTAGATGTACTTCCGAATTCTTCCAATACTTGAGGGATTCCTGGGGCGAACATAGATGAGGCTAACGGTCTAGAAATCCCTTAGCTCTTGACCAACTTCCTTTGGAAAGAGAATAGCTAACGTGATAAAGGTGATGAAAGCCAACAATATAATCATACCCCATTTCTTAGGCTCTGGCCAGTTCTGAGGGTTTGCCTCGTCGTTGCCATCCTCCCAGCCTACCAAATTTGAGTTTGCGTTAGACTCGGCACCATGTGTTTCGTTATTTCTCGTCACATTTAACGAACTATTCTTGCCCTCCTCTTCTTTATTAATATCTTGCAACTGGATTGATGTTGAACGCAAGGAGCCGTCATGCTTAGAGGGGGATTCCTGGTCTGTGGAAGTGGCCATTGCTTCTGGAGAAAAGGAAGGACAATATTAAAACGGTGTAATCTGAAAGTCCTGTGCCGCACCAAAACTAGACAACTCAGAGGGAAGGGATTCTGAATATATACGCACAATAACAAAAGCAAACTAAGCCGTCGTAACTTTCTTTCCAGAAGCTGTCATTTTTATTCCCCCCTGTTTGAATAATATAAAGGTATAAAAATAATGCAGCGTTAAAAAGCGTGGTATTGTAGTTGCACAACCGAACGCGGAAAGCTGTGGCCCGGAAGTGCCAAAACCAAGACATTCGCTCTCGCTCTCGCTCTCGTACTCATTCATTTCACATCCTCGAATTTCCTTGAAGAGACCAACGCCTCTATAGAATAAATACGAGTACGAGAATCCCACAGCGGATATAATCATAGGCATATCAAATAATCACTTGCCGGAAAGTGGTGATACAAACAATTTAAAACATTAAGATACTAAATCCTGTTTATTTACACAACACTAAAATTAGCATAGGGTGCTTTAAGCAATTAGTTTTGTTTTATTGTACTAAAGATGTTAGAGTTGATAATGCATATATGCTATCTATTCTCAACCTTTGCACAAATAGAATGAGAGAGTGTAGCTTAACTAAGAGCTGCAAAATACTAGTTATAGATTAAAGAAAAACAATAGTGAAATAAACAAGCCACTGCTAATAGCGTCTTACTTTCACTAACTGCAGAACAGGCTAGCATTTCAGCCTGATAGATCTCATGTGTAACTGCTTGCTGCTCAACCACTTGTGAGCAGCTAAGCTATTCGACAAGTAGCTATCAACCTTTACCTTCTAAACCTTGCAAATTATACAGCCTGTCCTCGTTTTGCAGTGGGATCGTCTCGAGCATTGGGTAATTGTGCCTAGCGATGGACTCTCATGCATGTTGATATCTAGACAGTGCTGATAGCGCTGCTACTGGAGGGCGAACGCCGAGGAATGACAGTGGGTGCTAGCTAAGGTTGAACTCGTATATGGACTCCTCGTACGAGAAGACACGTGCAAATGTACTAGTGAGAAGCAATATTAGGTTGAAGTGGGGAAAGCTGATGTGATATGAGGATGGTTAAGGCTTGCTCACACCTTTAATGCAAAAAAAGAGTAATAACGGATGATAGCTGAGCCGTCCTCACGTCAGATTCTTCGGCACCTGCCTAACGCCCTTGAGATGGAGGCTCTTATGTTTAGTGTATTATGGTGAATGTATGATCGGCAGAAATGTATTGCTGCTCTGTTTCAGTGAATGTGAATACGAGCGAATACGAGCGAATACGAGCGCGTAACGCTAACGATTAACCCCAGATGTTGATAGGCTGTGAGTCAGCCTCGTTGGCGCCATCCTGGCGCGGGTAACTCCCTATCGACGGCATTTGCCGTCTCTAATATCAAACTTTCCGAAGTGGGAGCATTTGGTTCCCAAGTGCGGATCCCAGATTTTAGTAGCAGCCCTATGATAGATCCAATCTACAAGGTATAAGTTATCTCAGACACAAAGTGTGAATATCTAAGCTTGATTTGGGCCCCTCCCTATTTCAGCCCCTTCATCAGGGGCTGACAGAGTGGTTTGTGTTAGGGGTAATTCGGGAGTACCAGGCATCCTCTACTTTATAAGTTATAAAGTAGAGGATATATTATAACCCTTGTTACATTCAGTACCATCGTTCACTATCATCGCCGCGAGCATCGCCATTGATACACAGCTAAAATTGTATGGGAATCCCCGGTCACCGTAAATAATCTCTTGGCAGCCGGAACAGAGAGACTTCACAGTAACACTAGAAATAGAATATATTAAACGATTGAATTACTACACTATTCTACGGATCCTACGTACTATTTGTATTCGCTCAGGGTGCTATACTCTGCCCCTGAGCAGCTGAACAATTAGGTGCAGTGCTCCATAGAGTGGTGCCCCGAGACAACTGCCTCACGCCACACTAATGGAGAAGCCGGACTACGGTACTGGGAATAATTGCTTTTTTAGGGCCAAAAGACTACCGTATCCCACGGTCCGTGTCCGCCTTCCCACAACAGTTTGATAGAACGAGGATCGTCAGTTGCAACGAGTTCCATGACGAGGAGGCTGAGACTTTGTTTCTGTAGTTGCGCGCCCTAGTGTGGACTCCTGTAGCCGGAAGATGGGAAATGATGATATAAAGTATCTAGAGCCGTCCTTTAATTCAGTATTCGTTCTTTAACCCTACCATGGTTATTCTTGGCCGCTGGGTTTGGATTCTCGGACCATCGGATTCGCATTTCGCACTCGGGCTCGGGCTCGCCTAATGGGATGGCAACGCGTCCGCCCCATTGTAATTCGAGCAAGTGGGTTTTCAAGTGGGACCAGAACAGGGGTATTCAGTAGTGTATGTCATCTTTGTTCCCAATCCACACCACTCCAGAAACGGTGTTACGGAGGTGTTGTTCAAAAGTTTTGTCATTAGGGAGTCCTAAAAAAGCCACTGGCATGGCTGCTTGTAGTGCGGCGGCGTATCTCGCCATATATTTTATATGGGATTGATACTTGAGTGTATGCTGCTGTGCACAAATCCTGGGTTCCCATGCTTGATCTACTCACAAAACTTTTGAACAATACCTCCGTATTGTAACAACACAGATTTATTCTAGAATAGCCTTTAAAAAGTTGCAACGGGACAGCCTAAGCTAGTTAAGTTACCTTGACGCTGTCATGGCCTAAGCTCCAGCCAGATCTTCTGGTAATTGCCATTTTTGAAAGGCTTGAAAATCTATAAAATGGCTCTATAAGCCCCCTTTTTGTTTCATGCAATATAACTATAGTCATCAACTACAATTCACCCCTTAGAGCAAAATATTTTATCAAAATGATCTCTCGCATGCAATTCATGGCATTAGCTCTATTAGGACTGGCATCTGCTAGTCCTAATATACTAGATTCTCTGAGAGGCCAAACCATCACTGCGGTTTTAGGGGGGTTGGATCTCACGGCTGAAGCAGCATGTGCTTGCAAGCTCCTTCTCAATTCCTACTCAGACATGATTTTATTCCCTACATCAGCAAATTATACGGCCGAGACAAAATTATTTTGGGACATCCGCTCCGACTTATCTCCCGCATGCATTTTTCAGCCAGATAAAGCGGACGAGGTGGCAGATGGTATTAAGATCCTCTCTGGGTGTGACGCCCAGTTTGCAGTACGCGGCGGTGGCCATATGAATGTATGTGCAAGAGTCTAAACGGTCGATGGATCTTACTAATTGGATGCACACAGTACCCAGGGTCAAATAACATCGACGGAGGCGTTCTCATCACATTGAACAAACTCAACAGTTATAAGGTCGAAAATGATACAATTGATGTCGGCCCAGGAATGACCTGGTATGATGTCTACGCAGCACTTGATCCACATGGTCGTATCGCCATCGGTGGCCGCCTAAAGACGATTGGTGTTCCTGGCCTTACTCTGATCGGCGGTGTGCATTACTTCATCAATAAGTATGGTTTTGCCATGGACAATGTCGTCAGCTATGATATTGTTCTCGGTAATGGCACCCAAGTCACCGCTAATGACACCACAAACCAGGATTTGTTCTGGGCGCTGAAGGGTGGTGCTAATAACTTCGGTCTCGTCACAAAATTTACTCTTAAAACCTACAGCATTCCCTTAATCAGCACAACTATCCAGACTTTTAACGAAAGTGGTATCTACGATTTGGTCAAGGCTACATGTGATCTTGCTTCATTGGATGACGCTGATCCCATCGCTGCTGGTTCCATCATCACTATTCAGTACAACGCAACAACTAAGGCTGCATCTGGCTCAATATTAGGTGTTCAAGAGGGAATAAGCAACCCTCCAAGTCAGTTTGCAAACTTCTCAGCGATTCCAGGACCCATCAAGTTAAACAACGTCACAACACTTAAGCAGTGGGGTTCTGACAAGGTCACCCCCAATCAGATGTTTAGGTATGTTCTACATTCACACACGTGAATAAGCACACATAGTAATGCGAGATAGGGTTATGTTCTCTCATAAAACTATTGTCCCTGATGCCGATAGACTATACAGTATTTACCAAGCCTGGAGAGCCGCAGTAGACCAAATTGCGGATGTCCAGGGTCTTTACCCAACATTCGTGATGAATACTGTTGCAGCAGGTGCAGCTAGAGTAGGACAGACTAACGGAATTGGCAATGTCTGGGGACTCAAGGTTGAGCCTACCATCTGTAAGTCAGTTCCATTAGTTCTGGGTCCAAAGGTGGGCAGCGATGAATTATACTGATCTGTATAATCTTTAGGGTGGCAGTTTAGCACCGGATGGGATTTGGCACAGGACGACCTCCGTGTAACGGCTTGGTCGCGTCAGTTAACTGAACATCTTCATGGTATTAACCGGAAGCTTGGTCTCGCCAGAGACCATATCTACATGGGAGATGCGGGTGAGTGGCAGGATCCCTTTGCGTCATTCCCAGAAGCGAACGTGGAGCGGATGAGGGCTATTAGATCAGCTTATGACCCGTCTGGAACTTTCTCCAGATTGAACTGGGGTGGCTTCAAGCTTGGATTCTAAAGGGGCCTGGAGGCATCCTGGTCACATAGAGTCGGGAACAATTATCGCAACCCCTTTTACAATCTTCATTTTGTCCCATCCCTAATTGCTAATTGTGCACGGAGGTACACCATTTTCCCCTAGGCAATGAGATCTGCAAAGTGTGTGGTGGGTCAGCGCAGCTCGTAGGCATGATCATGCTTTACCATGGCCTATGCCGTGGCTTCATCTTCATCTCATTTCCCACTTTAAATGCCCTTATGGCCCTTATTAAGCCTTAATTAATCTCGTTCTATCTGACTTGGTACGAGCGAGAGTTTCTCTATATGCACGTTAAGTTGCTGATCAACTCGTACTTGTATTATAACAGTTACTGCATCAATTAGAATACAACCTAGTAATATATAGTCTGCAGGCACTACAACCTAAAATCTGAACTTGGGTTAGGGTGATGAAGATATGTTAAAGCATGGATCTTTATATGCAAAGAGCATTCTGACCTACTACCCTATAACCCCTACTAGGAGATAACCAGCGGGGAAATCCACATGGGGTCTTCATCCATGGCAAGTATTTGTTGTGCCAGTTAATGCGCTAGTGCCTACTGAATCCGATATTTAACTCGTATACTCGTATTTAGTACGAGCGATTGTTTTTGTATATACACGCTGAGCTACTGATCAATTCGTACTCGTATTTAGTACGAGCGAGTGTTTTTCTATATACACGTTGAGCTACTGATCAATTCGTACTCGTATTTTGTGCGACCGGGGCTTTCTCCATTATACACGTTAAGCTGCTAATTATAAGTCTTCATATAAAGAGAGGTGCATAGTGTAGTTGGTTTCTAGTTTTCAACCTCAATCTCAATCACAACCTCAACCTTAATCTCTAGGGCAATTTTCAATCATGGCAACAACACTTACACTAACTACCGCTATCACTAGCACGTCCATTGTTGATATTGAGTCCGTTGGAGAGGAGAAGCGTGATATTACGACTCTGTTGAATTACTGGAAACGCCTTGAAAACCGTTCAATATCTGTGGATTTTAGCACCCCGGGAGCTCAGGAGCGTCTCGATGAACTCTCAAATCTCAATGAAGCACATACGGTATTGATACACGACGTTCGCGGTGACGAGTCAAAGTACACGCTAGAGCGTAATGGATTTCAGTACGTCCATCACCATGTTAAAGAGTTGGAGGACTGCTCCAATGAAGAACAAGTGAGAGAGGTTCTCCTTCCGGCTACTGAAGAGCTGGTCAAACAAATGTAAGCATAATTGGCTAGACATGATCTTCTCTATACATGTTGCGGCTAACATAACCCTGCTTATAGTACTGGTGCTACTAAAATCGTCACCTTTGCACACCGGATCCGTTGTTTCGCTACTGATGAGCGCCAGTTTGCCGCCTCCCAAGCACCTGCACATGACGTGCATTCTGATTTTACCTCGAGTGGTGCTATGGAACATCTCAAAGATATTATACAAGATCAGGCTGAATTCAACCGCCTACTAGACGGTCGCATCCTTGCCATTAACGTGTGGCGACCATTGAAGCAAATTCGCAAAGACCCATTGGCTGTTTGTGATTGGAGATCTGTCGATTCGGAGACTGATTTAGTTGCAAACCGCATGATATTTTCACACGGCTGGAAGGAATTGGCTAAGGCTAATTTCAATCCGAAGCATATGTGGTATTATTTGGGCGGCCAAATGCCAAATGAGCCATTGTTATTCAAACAGTTTGACAGCAAGGCAAAGGATGGTATGAACTTGCCCCATACTGCGTTCGTGGACCTGAAATACATTGAGTGCAATCCTAGAGAGAGCATTGAAATCAAGATGTACGCTTTTCTCTCAAGCTGAGCGCGAAGATCTAGTACTCTGCCATCCTTGTATGTATTTAGAATTCTACTCGGCCGTATCAGTTTCATTTAGTTACCACCTTCCAGAGTCGTTCCTATTTTCAACTATAATGTTTCAACACTTGTGCCACCCGTCAGTATTAGAGGAGCATACCTGATAAGAAGACGTGAAATACCTCGACGCTACTTCGCATATAGATCTGCATCGAACCAGTGTTGCCAGTAGTTCAAACTGTCAGTTTAACAGTTTGAATTCTCGATATCAGAGGGTACTATGTAGGGAAAGTTGACACAGCGGTTGTCTTGTTGCTTCAGTTATTATCTTGTTAACAGAGCAACTATTATGCACATACAGTATACTGGGACGTGCGTACTACCCTGCCAAAACTGTCGGTTTAACAGTTCAAGCTGTTGGCAACACTGCATCGAACTAGCCTTTGTACACCAGGACAAAGTCTGTTTGCAGAATAGGGAAACAAAATTAGTACGTCTCTTTAGAGCGCTGCACAGATGGACCTGATAAGACTAATAATGACCAAAGCCTTTATATCTGTTCCGGCCCAACCGTGAGCTGGGCCCACTCATGAGCTGGCCGGCCAGCTCATGAGCGGGCCGGCCCAACCACGAGTTTTGAAGCTCACGGTTCGGCCGGCCCAACCGTGAGCCCAACCCAACCCAACCCAACCTAACGTAGTAGTGTAGAATAGTATCGTAGAAAATTCAAATCTATAACCTACAACCTACAACTATAGCAATTATGGCTACTATTGCTTCGATCAATCCATTTCCACATGATGTGCGCACTGCTTTTGAGGCCTATATGAGTAGTACTACCTACTATAACCGTGAGCAATTTACACACGAAAAATGGCACTGCATGCACACAATACTCGATAATCCTACTGCCTACATACCATATAATAAAGAGAGCTCAAACCTTAAGACACGCACACTCTCTAGCTTTATGCTTATTAATAATAAGCTACATAAGCAAGGTGATATACGGCATCCACACCCTAGAATTGTGGTTCTAAAAGAAGAGGTGTTTGATATTATCATACAAGAACACCTTAAGCTCTTACATGCAGGCCGGAATAAGGTGTGGCCTACTATAGAGCAACAGTTCTATGGAATAAAGCGAGAGGATGTTGAGTTTATACTCAAACGGTGTAAGAATTGCACCTTAAACAGACCAAATACTACGAAAGCTCCATTAGTTCCTATTATAAGTGGACGGGCGTGGGAGAGAGTTCAAATTGACCTAATTGATATGCGTCACGAGCCATCAGGGCAGTATAAATGGATTCTTCATATAAAGGATCACTTCTCAAAGTATACACAGCTATACCCATTGAAAAGCAAGCACGCAGAGCCTATTGCAGAGCGCTTTGCTCAATTCATTACAGCTTTCCTACCTCCGAAGATTATGCAGTCTGATAATGGGAAGGAATTCAAAGGGGCTCTCCTTATTCTACTACGGAAGTATGGAATTCAGGTGGTAAATGGAGCACCACGATCACCACAAACGCAAGGCCTAGTTGAGCAGGCAAATGGAGTAGTTGAGAATAAGCTCCGGGCATGGAAAATGGATCATGGGTCTACAGAATGGAAAGATGGGCTGCTTGAGGTCACGCTTGCAATGAACACCCAAATCCACTCTACAATTGGGTGTGCGCCAGCTGAGCTTCTATTCCGAGAGCGGAGCTCACACATTGACTGGCTCAACAGTCAGGCCCGGAAGGATCTATCAATTGGAGTTGAGCAGGAAGACCCAACTATGGGCCCGATATTTGAGAGTGATCTCGAACCCGAAGCTCTAATTGACCCACAGCTCCGCCAGGCGCCAGAGCTCTCAATTGAGCTCAGAATTGAGAGCTCCCACTCCGAGCCAGAACTCGGAATTGAGCTCCCAATTGAGAGCTCACATTCTGAGCCAGAACTCGGAATTGAGCTCGCAATTGAGAGCTCACACTCTGAGCCAGAACTCGGAATTGAGCTCGCAATTGAGAGCTCACACTCTGAGCCAGAAATTGGAATTGAGCTTCGGCGTAGGACCCGGGCTCGAGTTCCAGCTCAGCTTAGAACTGAGCTTCGGCTTACACCAGATCCTGTAATTGAGAGAGCTATAGTAGCTACTCAACGAGCAAGGATTTCTATGGTGCGGAAGTATACAAAGAAGCATGATATTCAGCACTTTGATATAGGAGCAATAGTCTCTATAAAGGTTCCTCGAGAGGATAGAACCTCAACTGATAATAAGAGGCTATTTGCAAGAATTCTAGAAGAGCCTTACCCTCATAGGTATCGCATTCTTACACCTTCGGGTGTAATACAACGCCTTATACCTACAAAATCACTCGGAGTTGTAGAGCAAGCTCTATGGTCTGATATCATTATTCCTACTTCTACAAAGCAAGTAACACTAGGGCTTGCAGCTAGAGAGGCTTCTACAAGCGCACGGGTTGGAATATCGTGTCAATGTAAGGGGCAGTGTAGTACAAAGCGGTGCCGGTGCTATAAGGAAGCAAAGGAGTGTAGTGTA